TATATATATATATGTATATGTATATATATCACTGCCCACCTGCGAGACAGGCACTGGGAACAGAAGAAATAATTTTGAAACAAAACAACAGCACTTGCATCTACTGGTATAGACTATTTTATACTGGCCAGTGTTAACTCACAGGATGCCTAAGTGGTTCTTTCAAATAAGCTGTACTTATAATTTGATATGAATTTTCATGAAGTGCGTTATGTGCAAGCTTGCTTAGGAGAAAATTTAGTGAAAGTTTTATGGGCATTCTTTTTGAGATTCTTAAAGGTATGTAACTTGTTCATAAAATGAGAGGGAAAATATTAATATCTACGATGTTTTGGCTTTAAAATTTCTTCAAAAAAGCCCTTCTGCTAATACCTACATTTGCACAAGTTCCCATTGATATGAGTGAGAGATGCTCCGCAGCTGAGGTGAGGAAGAGTCTCCCCATCTGCCCAACACGCAGTTCAGGGGCCAGTTCACACACTCGGGTTAGGGGCCAGCCCATGGTCCTCCTGGATTGCATCTTCTCCAACTTCCCATAAGAGTTGACTGAGGAAGGGCCGCAAAGCGGGGTGTTTGGGGCAGTGCAGACATGCATGTGGTGTCACTGGCAGGGCACGTCACTCTGGGTAGGTTCTTCCAGTAGTTTTTTGTCTGTTGTGTGGAGAAAGGTACTACATAAACAAGATTTTTCTCATTAGTTCCTTCACTTCTTAATTATCTACTGATGCCTCCTCCAGGGAGGAATTGCTTTGCAATTCCACCTGAAATCATAGGTCCCTCAAGACTATATTATGTCTTCAGCACCATCCTACACGTGGTGCTTCAAAGGGAAGCTGAAAAGCCCTCAATACCTGGGCAGTTGTGTGATGTGGTGTGATGAGTGAAGACCGAGGAGAATTCCTCTCGGGCTTCTGGGGGCGATCGGTTTACATCCTAAAGCACAAGATTTGATTACTCCTTGCTTAGCATGGAAATGTTGCTCTTGGCCATTAAGTTGTTCAGTCCCTTTATAAAAACCCTGCTGGAGTGTCTGATTCTGGGATTCCCGTGGCTGTGAGCTCCACAGGGCCAGCCCTGCTGTGCCAGGAGAAGAGACCTTTTGTCGGGACGTGACCTGCCTGTCGCTGCACTGACCGCCCTGCTGCTCCTGGACAGGCAGGGAAGGTGGCTCCTCCACTGCACCCTTCTAAAGGAAAATACTTCCTATGTTCTCTCCCTTCAGTGGCAAACTTCTGGTCTTGGCAGTTTTACCCCCTAGGAAAACCCTGTCTTACTACTCTAGCAAAGCTTCACAAGGTTTTAGTCTATGCTATGATTTAACACATCAAAACTGAATATAGCTTTTGCAGTTTTACCACTAGATTGTTATGGCATCCCACTGTATAATTTCCTATTATTATCATTACTGTTCAACAAAACTATACATTATTCTTACAGGACTGCTTTTCCCAAAAGATAGTGTAATTCTGGAGCTAGCAACCTGTATAAATAATGTAGACCTATTTGCTATATACCTCTCATTTCTCCAAATTCAGTTTCATTTGGAGGCCTGTAGTCCAGATTCCCAGTATACTCAGCTCCACTCTGTGTTTCTTCAGAGCATCGAAGTAGCTTATCAAGGAGACATAAATATTGTCAGCAAATGGTGACCATTTCCCCCAAATCAAATCACCAATAAATGTTCCCATTAGCATGTATGAGGAAAAAGGTTTATCATGCTGAAAAGAAATATTCAATATAGCCAGGAGGCTTCAGGTTTAATGAATTAGGGAAGGGTATGAACTTTTTAATGTATATCACTATATAGAGGTACAAATATACTATGAGGCCCCAAAAGGCCTTTCAAATTTGTTGAATTATGTGAGTTAAAAATCAAGTAAAATATACAGCACATATTTATTATGAATATCCAAAACAAAGCAAACTGTGGTTGTAGAACAGTATTAACAGGAAATGTCCAGGCTGTTAGTTAGTGAAACATATACAGCTGAGCTACTGCCTGGGCATTTTTAATGCATCCCGCTGCCCTCATCCTCCCTCACCTCTGAATTCCTAGTTTCAGTAGCTTAAGGTTTCTTCTTCCATACAGAAGAAATCTCTTTTTAAACTGTTCTGTCGCTAATGCATAATCTGCTTATTCTGCATCAGACACCCTTAACAGTCTGGGTATCACAGCAACCTGATCAGTAGGCAAATACTTGGGAAAGAATTAAAAACAGGGCCCTGGGGACTGGACAATCTAAAGCCTGCCAGAACACGTGAATGGGCACACATGCAAAGTAGTATTTTAGGCACCAGCTTGAGCTGTGGGCACCATCATGGATATTTTTAAAGAGCCAAATCCCCACGTTGGCTGCTTTTTCTAATGCAGCCTCATTTTCCAGTGACCAGAGCTCAGTCCTAGCTGAAAAACTGCCTTAGCAGAGTCATGCTGAGCTCGCTGCCTGGGAGCAACCGCGCCAAATCCGGGCGATTTAGTGGCTCCCTGTGATGGGGAGGTTCATGCAGAGGCGCTGTCCGTCCTTGAGCCTGGCCTGCTCGGCAATGCCAGCCCCTGAGGGCATTTTCTGCTGGGAGCCAGGTGCTCCGTGTCGTCCCGGCGCTTCCGTCCCCTCCGCACGGCAGCTGCTGACCCAGACCCTTTCCTCACAGCTGGAATCGGGGCCTTCCCCGCTCTGTGCTGGCTTCTTCATCCGCACTTGAAACCCAAAGCAAACAAGATCCTCTCTTTGGCTCTTCAGGTTGTGCTTTAGGCCTTTTTATTTATTTTACATATTGCTGCTCGTTGTTTATAGAGGAGCAGTTATCGTTCCCAAAAAAGGTTTGTTTTCGGTTACTTAAATATTTGGCTTGAGTGCATCCTTGGCGTGGCCCGTTTAGCATTAGTGGTTTACTTCTTCCGTTTCTTTTTGGGTTATTGAGACTCCCTGTGGTCTGTATTATATGCCTGATTTCCCTGGTTTGGGAGGAGGGGGTTATTTCATCATGGGATGAGCTCTGGCTGGTTGATTTATTCCAACCCCTCTTAGCAGAGTGTCGCTGTGACCCTCCATCCCTGCAGCCGCCTTTGGCAGTGCTCCCGGCCCGCCGCGTTGCGTTTGGTTACGCTGTTGTCACACTGTTGTCACCGCTGTTTCACAGTTCATCTAAATTTACCTCTCGGAGCAGCCGCCGTGCCGTGCACGCGGACGCTGAGAGCAGCCGCTGGAGGCAGCTCCGCCTGCTCCCGGGAGCAGGTGTAACTTACACTCGCAAAATAAATGTTCCCCCGGTCGTGGAGCATGGAAATAGGAGCCCTTCAAGTGTTTCATTCTCCCACCCGTGTGCCGTGATAAAGCTTTCCTGTCTTTTCTCTCCCCAGGCTTGCCTCCAACATCATCCCTCCGCTCGTCAGCCCGCTCAAAGCGCTCGTGCCCCCGTCCCTGCTGCAGAAACACGGCTCCCCGGCGCCGCACAGCCAGTCGCCCAACGGGCAGCACTTTCCTGCAGTACCAAATAAACCCTACGCTCCGTTTCAAAACCAGCCTGTACCACAGGGATCGCAAGGTGACTCTTCTTTTTGTCTCTTTTTTTTTTTTTTTAAGTTTTTCCCAACTCCTGGCTGCCATTGTTGCACTTTCTGCCAATGCCGCTTTATTAAGAGACTGAGAGCGTTTCAGTGGGAACTCCTAGTTTTAGCATGTTTTGACTTATATAGGAGATTTATAATTTTGATTAAAATTTTCAGACCACTTTGTACTGTCATATTGTATGAGAGTGTGGGAAGCTATCACAGCAACAGATTCATTGCTTTTTTAGGACATGACTTCAAAGATCCTTATGAGAATAAATTATGCCTCCAAAGAGCTCTGTGATTTAACGATGCAGTGAAATATTTAACCCGGCCTCACTCTTTGAGCATCAGGAAAGGATTCCTCCCTCCACTTGGGAGCTGTCAACTAGCTGTGCACCTTGTCTGACCACTCAGCAGCCTCTGGCTGGTTTCGAGAGGGTGACACAGCCAAAGCAAGTGTCATCTAGCCCTAAAATAGATGGATGCAGCACATCCTGGTGCTCTCCTGCTCCATCCACTGCTAGGGACATGCTGTGCCATGAGCTGAAGACTAAAACAAGTTACTTTGCTATTTAGTATTTGGATTGTAGCTTATGTGTTGCTCCATATAGTAATCTGTACTCTGTCAAACTATAGAGTGATGTAGTGTGATTCGAGGACAGGAAAGGTAGCAGCTATTTCACTGCTTAATTTAGGACATTTTTCTACATCCTGAATTGCCTGGCCTTGTTAGTAGAGAGCTTATTTTCCTACCCTGGAGTTTGGCTGCAACAACTAATTAATTTTGCTACAATTTTTGAGGTAGAAATTAGCTAGTGATACTATTATCACAGATTTTTCCAGTAACGAGAACTTGCATATTTATGAAATGTGTTATATAATCCAGATGGCAGGTTGTTTAAGTGTGGTAAATACTCGCAATGAAGAAGTGTGCAGGACGTCTGTCTGGTCTCTGGTGCAACCAAGAATATAAGTTTGTACAGGCAGATAATCAGTTTTTTGAAACTCATTTCACAGTTGTTGTATTATTTCTATAAAGTCATTTTTGGCTGGGCAAAATATGACATGTGACCAATTTACCAGTGGGCAAATGGGAGCTTTGCTTTCCCTGAAAACGCTCTAAGGCTTGATTTGAAATTCAGGATTTCAGCACAAACCCAGTGGCGGTGCATGGCTGTAATGGGGTTCAGTGTCCCAGCTGTGCCCTTTGGTCTCCAAGGGGTATTTTACCTCTAGTTTGGGTCAAATAACATAAATAATCTTAAGGTTGTTTGCTTAATTTTGCCCTTTGGTTGGACTGACTTTGGCTGTAAAGCTAAAGCATATTATATTAAATGATTTGTGTCGAAGGAAAAACTAACTCAACCTGATGCTCAACAGATTATTCAATTTAAAAAGATTAACTCTGTGAGGGAAAAGTGGCAGATTTATGATAGCATATAATGATATATGATTATGCTACCATAATGAGCTAAATAACTACAAACCACAAGAGGAAAGTTTAGCAGCTCATTATTATGGCAGAAACAAATGCATAGACAGAACAAGTTTTGAACCACTTAAATAAATCGACTTTATTCCTTAAGAAAACCACATTTCCTTTTGCATGAATTGTTGCTTTCTAAGTGTTATGTCGTGCGGTTTTGTAAAAGCAATAATTTTCCACGTTGGCCAAATGTTGAAGTATTATTATAAATTCATTATGGAAATGGTCATTCCAAAATCAATTTTGATTAGCAGCCTTTGAAATGAACTGATCTGCAACTTGTACCTACCTGTACTTGCTCTAAGCCTTTTTTGCATCCCAATTCATTAATAGCAAACTTTTCTGATGGAATCTGAAGTAATGTGGGGAGTCAATCTTTTTTCCAAAAAGAGGAATACTGTGTAACTCTAGCTCTAGAACTAGGCAGCTCTAGAGAAGCATATAAATATTATGATTTTGTATTTTTTTTTAAATAGCAAGCATCAGCAAACTGGTAGCAGGAATATTGATAATGAAAGAATAATAAACTGACATTATTTATATGTTTAAAGCTAGTCATGGTAAGATCACATGGAAATTATTATATGCTGAAAGAATTTGGCAGGCAGAGGAATCCTGCAGTTATTTATACCTGACGTGGTTTCATGTCAGAAATTTTATGGAATTTGCAGTGCTTGGATTTATTTGCACATACATGTAAATGACATGACATAACAACCTGGCATTTAGCAGACATATTCCAATTATTTGCTCATTACATCATTCATTTTAAAACTGCTTGAAGTTTTCTAGGTTGTGCCTTAAAGAGAGGCAGCCAGTGCACTGTGTGAAGCAGCTAACTGCAGCTTTTCTGCCACAAATTATTTCAAAGCAAAATTGTAGCTAAATGTTATGCTTGGAACCCAGTTTATTCCTTTATTAACTGTTATATTTCTAGATCTACTGCACATAAAACATTTAATAGTGATCATTTAAACTGACAGGACTTTTAGTCAATTCTTCATTTGAAAATTAACTTCAGAAAAACTGATTTAAATCAAACAAGCTGAAGGAAAACCTGAAATCCATTTGGAAAAAAAAATATCAGTGAAGCACTAGGTGCCAAACTGGTGCTGCTACACTCACGCTCTCCTAGAAGGAGCAGCAGTGTTTGTACCAGACAAACCTTCCTGCTTACTTCATATTTTAACTGCTGAAGGGGTTTTTTTTGAAGAACTTGTAAAAAATGTTTCGTATTTAGCTTTCTTGGTTGTTAATTGAATCCTTAGTTATGGGATTTTA